ATGTGGGGAACTTACATTGTAAGGGCGAGTGATTTAGCAAGAGCCCGTCCCAAAATCAAAATTAAAAAAAAAAAAATTAAAAGGGCTGCAGATGTAGCTAAGTTGATGACCCTGGGCTCAGTCTGCAGTCCTGGAGGGCAGCTGTCTGGCAGGGGCTGTGAGCAGTGTTGGTGGAGGCCAGGAGAGGAGCCGGGGAATGCAGACTCCCCTCCTCCTCCTTCCGGTCTCTTCCCGACTCCCACTGGCAGGCCCAAGTGGAGTCAGGTTGGAAGCTGAAAGCCAGGGCGTGGAGGATGCTGTCCCTAAAGTCACCCTCCTGCCCCAAAGTCACCCTCCTGTGTCACAACAAAGTGAAGAACGGCAGGTGGGAGCATGGATCTGCGGGTACACGGGAACACTGAAGGCCCCTACTGATGATATGGGCTGAACTGTGTAGCCTCAAATTCCTATGCTGAAGTCCTAGCCCCCAGTGCCTCTGAATGGGACTGTATTTGGTCTGCAAAGAGGTAGGTAAGGGCCAGGGAGAGAGCTCAGTGGCACAAGCGCCTGCCTGGCAAGCACAAGGTCCTGAGTTTGATTCCTAGTACAAAAACAAACAAAAAGCCTGAAGTTAGTTAAGTTAAAAGGAGGCCTTCAGTGTGGGCCCAAACCTGCTATGCCTGGTGCCCACATAAGAGCAGGTGACCAGGACACAGCCGAAAGATCAGGCAAAGACACAGACAAGGCAGCCACCCATGAGGCGAAGAGGGAGGCCTCAGGAGAAGCCAATCCCGAAGACGCCTTGATCTCAGACTTCCAGACTCTGGAATTGGGAGAAAAGAACTTCCTGTTGTTTCAGGCACCCGGTCTGCGATGATTCTGTACGGCCCTGATACAATCAAGTATTCAACATCTCACTCACCAACATGTATTCGCTTTTCCATTTCTCCTGCAAGTGGTGTGGCAGGACTCAGGAGAGTCGGAAGGGGCTTGAATGCTTGTGGGACATATGGGTCATTTATCAGGAAAGCAAAACCACAGAGCCAGCTACGGACTAGCATCAGGATGCTGCACACCCTGGTGGCAGCTGTGGATTATGACACAGCAGCTGCAGTGGTCCTGAAACAGCCCTTGCAACGGTTGTTCACCAGCCCCTGTCAGCCTCGGGTAGGTGGCCCCTACCCAAAACGATGGAAAGCCTATATGTCTGTTGGCCCTCAGCTACCCAACAGCTTGGCTATGCACTTCCTTTGGCTCATGGGCTCGGAGGGCTCCTGGTCAACCGTGCTCCTGCAGCCCCAATGTCCCCCCACTCTGCCCACTGATCCGCTACTCTCTCAGTCATAGAAGCACTAAATATGATGCTGAAAAGGGGAGCTTTAAAGGCTCAAAAGAGGAAAGTAATTTTGAAAGAAAAGTCCTGTCCCCCAATTTCTTCCACACTGACGTTGTGGGTCTCAGGCTCTCCTCCCTGCTCTTAGAATCAATCCTCCTAGTTCTTCCATAGAGTGACTGTGCTCGCTTTTGGGGCATGCTCAGGCAGGAGAAGGGAAGTGCGTTTGTGGTCTGGGCTGGCAGACAGGTCTGGTTTAGACAGCCTTAGAAAGCTGATAGGAGGCGGGGAAGATTTTATTTAGCTAGGGGCATGTTTGCTGTCCCCGGAGCAGTCCTCTAGGCTTCGCAGCACCAGGGAGTGTGAGCCAGAGCCCTGTGCTCCCTGCTCTGTTCCAGGGGCTCGGGAGACAGCAGTGAAGCCCACCTCTCAGTTCATCACCAGCCTCAGTCCACTACGTCCTCTGCTTCGCAGGCCAGTTTTGCTGGGGCCATCTGCTCTCTAGCTCTCTAAGGTTAGGCGAGACTAGATAACATCTTAGGATTCTAAAGGGCCAGGCTGAGCCCTATGTGGGCTCCATCAGTCACCTATCAGACCAGTTACTTAACCTCCTGGGGCCTTGCTTTCTTATCTGTAATGAGCATGATAATAGCTACCTTGCGAGTTGACTGTGGATTCAGGCAGATAACACAAACAAGTAGCAATTGCTCATCAAACAGTCTTTGCTTTCCCCCTCAGGAGCTTCCCTTGAAGTGTGGGAGGACTTTGGGATGACTTCAGGCTCTTTCCTGCTGACAAAGATAATGGGCTCCTGAGAGACCTTGTGTGTGTGTGATTGAGAACATCACTGAATTAAAAATACTTCAGGAAGGAGCTGGTGG